ACCTAAAATTAAAGTAAGAGAGAGTGCACTCACTCTGATAAACGCTTTGGAAAAATTACTTTAGTTCTGTCTTTAAGTTCCTGTTACTTTGATAACCCTTTGTTACAAATTCCTATTACCTAACTACTGTGTTAGATACTCGAGTTCTCCTCATTAATAACTGCTTATGAGCGGCTGGCTCGGTATAATCGCTAGTTTGCAAAAAATAGAAGTTTCCATTTCCAAGTTCTTTCTCCTTCTGTTTAGAGGAAGGTTAAGGATAGTTGATGATGTTGATCCTATTTCAATGTTACAATACGGAATGATTTGGGACAGCCGACGGATTACCCAATGGTACCTACGCCATCGGCGCCGCCCTTGGACACCCGTAGCACCCAAGGAGTTACCCGTGTGTTGCTGGCCTTTTAGGGATGAGGGTTTCGGAGATTCAGGGATTAAAATAGGATGGAGGAGGCGGTGGATTGGGCCACACACGGCGAAACACAACGCTGGGGTTGTCGAAACATAACGCTGTGGCGCCAGTTTTCTGTGAAGTACCGCTCACAAAACAACCTTAAAGCAATTGACATAGCAACTATTGTAGTTTACAATTAAGTTTTTTAAACAAAACATGATGTCTGTCATGATGAAAAAACGTGTCGCAAACTCGCAAATCCTAACCTATTTGAATGAACCACAACTGTTTTAATTTCATTGCCAAGACGTTTACAATACAATTATATTACGATTATTTACATATTTATTTGTAACACTTTAATGATCTGCGTTGCACGCAAAAAGTTTACAAGACTTAGTTTAAATCTTAATTTCGTTTTTTTTCGTTCCATTTTTAAAAAAAGATGTAGGGTAACAATGGCGGCTGCCAAATCGTTGAGTGCGTTTGATTGAGACTTTTTGCTTTGTTGTGTCATAATAATAATAATTTTACGTTTGTGCTAACTTTAAAAGTACTATAATAACGTCATTTTAAAGAGGTTTTTTGGCAACGGTGTGTTGGTCCAAATAGTTTTTCTTATCACTATTTGTTTATTATTTATGAATTGTAAACAGTTGTGTTTTAGTTTACCTTTAGATATACATATTAAAATATTGTCTATTCCTAATATATTATACATACTCGTATAAGAAATAAAATTATTATGCATATCTATTAACCCAAGTTAAATATAAAGTAGTTTTTTGAAACACATTGAAGTTTTGCGTCGTTCTCCATTAAAACTTTGCATTATTCATTATTAGATACTAAAACAATAAACGTCTATTAAAAACTTATGAGATATTACGTGCCTAAATATAAAATGAGCGCTTCAAAAAGTTCACCTTTCTAATATCCCAAAAAGACTACATTTACAAAAGATTAAAAGTGACTAATCCTAAATAGATATTAAGTGCCCCAAAGAAATGAAGTTTTTCACAATGATTCACACATTATATAAGTAAAAATAACGATAAATATTAATGGCGAAGAGAAAATCTCAGCACGATCAGGCGCCACGCCAAAAATAATGTTAACAGAATTTGTTTGTCATCAAATCGATGAGTAACGCCTAAGAATAGACCATCTTCTTGGTAAAACATGAGACTTGAAGCTTGACGCAGAAAAAAGTTTTATGCTAAAGGGCAATTCTTTAAAAATAACGATGAACAAAGAATTTTTGAGAAATGAATTAAGTCTAAATAAAATTGCCTTTACGTATATACTATGTATTTTTTTTGTGAGGGAAAAATTATTAAATGTCTTCTCCCACCCGGGGTCGGGCAGGAGCGAGTGTCTCTTACTGACTAAAAACCACCCGTTCCTTCACCTTCTCTGGGCCAAGGCCGCGGTGCCTCATTGCGCTGGGTTGAGTGCCTCTTACTGACTAAAAACCTCCCGTTCCTTCACCTTCTCTGGGCCAAAGCCGCGGTGCCTCATTGCGCTTGTCTCGCAACCCCGGTAACCTATTGTTTGTACTTACTTGATCGTTTGCGCTAACGATTCCTACGAAATGTAAAATGGAAGATAATTTGTAAGCTAACGCCTTTAAAGCAGGATAGGTATTTAGAGACATACGATTTCACATACACATGACACCCAGACCCGAAACAACAACTTGTGGATCACGCAAAGAGTGGTATCGAGTGGGAATCAGACCGGCGGCGACACGTTGCACAAAAGCCGGTTGCCCAGCCACCGCAAAAACTGTGTATTCACGTTGATATCATTATGAACTTTAACTGCCATAATAAGAATAGTGAGGGAAATTACTTTGCTAACGGTTGTCATATTATACGAATTTAAATTCCGAGAATGTTTCTGGATGCTACATATAATAATAAATTCTATTGTAGATACAAAAAAGATTTGATGACTAGCTCAACTAGTTTCAGCCTTCTATATAAAAAGGGCATCGTCCAAATGTACAATATTCTAAGAATCAACGATTTTAAAGAAAATATAAAAATGACATATCTCGTGAATCATTCAATTCATGGTAATGGCTGGTGACAAAGTTTGTATGTGGAAAAATTGTTCGACATTGGCACTGAAGAAATGAGGTCTTTTACCTTTATGCATAAGATGCGTAAGTGTGGCAACTGGGCTTAGAGATAAGTGCAATAGTACAAGGACCCGGTCAATAAGAGAGTGACACTCCTTCTCGCTCCACCGAAGGCAATACAAAGTCATTTGAAACTCTTTCCCCACCAAAAAAACCAACACAATTTTCTGTTAAACATCATCCCTTTAAACATCGATCCACAAAATAACTTGCCAACAAATCGGATTCTGACAAATCCGTCTTTTATTTAGAAGGCCCTTAGGCCGGTATTCTCTATTTATCTATCCGAATTTCTAGTTACAAATATCTTTGTGTGGGTGTCATAGCGTGTACCTATGATATTTTTGTCTGCCTATTACAGCATTTACTATTTAAAATAAATATATTTTTGTGATTTCGCCAAAATGGCCTTTAAATATTAGGGAACAATGACGAATTATTCAATCAAAAAATTAATAAAATAAAATAAATCCATTCAGAAAATAAATACTCCATTTATTCAATCCGCTCTGGCTTCGCTTCACAATGCTGAATTTGTCAGCTATTTAATATGATGATATTTATTATACATATTATTATATATGAAGCTTTCTCTTCTTCTATCTATTAAAAAAGCCGCATCAAGATCTGTAGCGTAATTTTAAAGATTTAAGCATGCATATAGGGAAACAAAAAGCGACTTTGTTTTATATATATAGTGACATTATTTTTGTACGTAACTAGTTACTCTCGCGCGGTTTTACCCGCTGCTCGACTCCATTTGATCGTAGCGTGATGTTTTATAGCCTATAGTACTCAGGAACATTGTAGCTATATAACAGTGAAAGAATTTTAGCAATTCGACCAGCGGTTCCAAAGATTACTCCCTACATACAAACTTACAAATTTTACCTCTTTATAATATTAGTAGGTATAGATGTAGTGACAAATAAGTAACAAAATGCTTCCTTGGAACGCAACACCGTACACGCGTAAAATCCCGCCTGTATTTCTTGTTTATCTTGAATCTAATCTTGAATACCGGAAAATCCTTTCTTCAAGCTAAAATGAAAGTTTTTTTAATCATAAATGTTTATAAAAGTTGTAGCTGTCTACAGACAGGGCAGTTTCAGCTGCCTGCAGACAGGGCAGTTTCAGCTCTGCGTTGTCTGTCAATAAGGCATTACAAATTCGCGTGTTTAATCAGTTGGGGTCGAGGGTCAATCGCAATAATATACCGCGATCTCAACCTGGAGCAGGAGAAAGAAATTTAGTTAGTAAGTCTGACACTCCCTACGTCAATTGATGAGTTTCCCCCCTTGAACAAAAAACAGCATGCCTGATTTGAAGTATCGCACATGGATACCCGTAACGCCAGAAGAATAACGAGTGCGTTGCCTTTTTTGGATTTAGGGATTGAAAAGGTATGGGGTAGGGGAATTGGGCCTCCAGTAACAAGCTGCTGACGAAACACTTCCCAATATATTATTTTTGTGGGGCCAATGTTATGACTTCTCTCGCCCAGGGTAAGGCGTAAGGCAGTGTCTTTCTTAGATTTTAATGAATAAAAAACGCCATTACGTCATTACGCGCAAGTGGTGCTTGCTCCGCAACTCCACACTCAAAGACATTTTTGTTGCTTAAAACATTATTGTTACTTAAAACATTCCTTAGTAACGTTTTTTTCCGAAAACAATCGTTTAGTACTGGAGTTAAGTAACAATTAAAGTACGGTGGTAAAATAACGTAATTTTGTTTTCTTTTGTATAATACACAGTAATTTTATTTGTATGAGGAAGATCACAAATTGGGGAGCAATTAGCTAAGCCTCATTTTAATGATCTTACTAATTCGTAAGTAATAAACTTAAGAATTTAAAAAACAGAAACATCATTATTTATTTATCCGATAACAAGAGTTCCATACTCAGTATTAAGTCAACGTAATTAATATATTTTCATCTTCTAAAGGCTATTTATATACCAATGAAAACATAATTTCTTGTAAAGACGTCCAAACTGTTGAAGAGTTCGCAAGAATTTTACGATGTGCGCTTAAAATCAATTGTGACGGAGGTGATTGATGTGAAACATGACGAGACGTGAACGTTTTCAAGAGAAGGCGAGTGGGAGCACTTGATTCGATGAAAAGAGGCACCAATGAAAGTTAGTCATGAAAAGTTCACGGAACCGAACAGTACTGGTAATGATTACACAAGAGATAACCGTCAGACAAGCGCGGATGACACAACGGGAAGCACTCGCTAACTCCCGTTTTATTTATAAAATCAGTGTCCAGCCAGTTCGGACTCTCTCGCACGTCTACAGCCTCACCGCGGAAAATATTCAGTAATGTCAATGTAGCATCCGAGTAACAATCTGACGCCGGCGCTAACGCAAACATTGGGCTGAGATCGCGCGCCGCTCAGCGTTGCAGTCAATAAACAGTGTAGTGTTATTAAAAGCTCTATAAACAGTGAAAATGGCTAGTCTGGACGTTCCGCCTAGTTATCCGCCGCCGCCTCCACCTGCGAGGCCAGTGCGTCCGAAGATCACGTTGCAGATACCTGACTCTTCAGTGCAAATGACTCCTAGAGGACCTCCAACCAGTGCTTCGGTGAACTGGCATCCTAGATTCCCTGGGAAACCTCCAGCGACGCCAGCATCACATATATCTGATCCTCATGGAAATCCTTATTACAATCCCTTTATGCATATGTATCATAATAAAGCTTCAGAGTTCATGTTTAAACAGTTCGAAGGCTTCAAAGACTTTACTATTAATACTACGAAGCACGGATTGAGTGCTGGTGAAAAGACAGCGTTTTGGTTGTACAATAAGCTGAAGTTGTTGTCAAAGAAATGGTTCACGCATCTCTTCTTAAGTTTGTGTTTGGTGTTGTACAGTATTATTGGTGCCTCTATTTTCGTGGCTGTTGAAGGTGAGTACATAAAATAATATTCTTTTTTAAATTCATTTTAGGTCCTCAGAAGTAGGGCTATTATTTTTCACCTGGATACACTTAAAAGAAAGACTAAAAAATGTTAGTGTTGCACATTAAAAAAAACGAGCTTTAAGATTTTCTAAATGATCGTAGAATGTAAATAGTATTGTTTATTGCAGGTTTTTTTCATTGCACAATATTTGCCTAGACGTTTTCTCAATGTCTGCCTTGATAGGATAGGTATAGGTACTTACATAGATAGGTATAGGTTAAAATTTATAGGTTTTATTAAATTTAATTACTCAAATTAAAAAAAAAAGTTATGCAAATAATCTTTTATATTATTAATATTTCTACGTAAATAAAGCCGTTAAACGTGTATGGTTTAAGCTGTCATGTCAGAAGTAAGCTCAATTATCTACATAATCCGCGTTGATTGGCAGCGTTTGTTACAAAAGTGTTTAGAACAGATTATTGCCTTTTAAATATTCACACATAAAGTTCATTGTTGCATAAATTTGTGTAATATTGAAATCTTTAAAGGGACTACATTATTATCAGTTTTCAACAAATAAGCTCCTACACTTTTTAAAACATTGACGATTAATTGTATTATGAAAGGAGGACATTTCTTCATAGAGGAAAGTCATCAAACATTGTGACTACTATAGGATAAAACATCACGCTACGATCTATAAGGGCCAAGCAGAGAGTGAAACCGCGTGAGAGTAGCTAGTTAAAAATAAATTAAGCCGTCATCCTTATTATGCCTGGCAATAAGCATAATATTGTTATGATAATGATCAAAACTTTGGTTACAAGTGGGAGTTGACCAACACCAAAGATAAATCAGCCCACTCCAGAGAATTTAAATCATAATAATTACGTTTTGTTTTAAATAATATTATCTCGAAAGGGTAATGGGATGTATAACTCCGAACACGAGGAAGGCCACAGACCCAAAGGTCAGAAATGATCGAACAGATAAATAAATTGATACAAGTTAATGCCCGGACATTTTGGGGACTCACGACCTTCATTCAAAACTAATAGAACTGGGACTTACCGACTTAGTTTAACAGCTTTTGGTCTGTCAATGAGGTATTTATAGTAAGCGAGTTAGTAAGTAAGTAATGTGTTTAATAATAAATGCAAGGTTTTTATAGGATAGATCGGCATAGGAGTAAACGGATCACCTAATGATAACCACTAGGGCACCTGGAACACCTAAAGAGTTATACCTTTTGGGGATTAGGGATCTAAAGATTTTGGGATTGGGGGAAGAGAAAGATTTGGCCTCCGGTAATCTCACTCACACGTCGAAACAACGCTGTGGTTGTTTCACGCTGGTTTTCTGTGAGGCCGAGGTATCACTCCGGTCGAGCCGACCCATTTGTGCCGAAGTATAGCTCCCCTACACATGGTGAACACACGATTTCTCCGGAAACTGAACCCGATTTGGAAATTTGGTATACTATACTTGCTTGGAGTTTTCGCTTAAACAAAGTAAACAACAATATACAAACGGGTTCAAAATGAATATGCATGATACACACACACACCCACACACATCAACAAATTCAGGTCCCAAAATGGCCATCGAAAATTCTCGAAGCAGAATGCAAGCGTAAACATGTTACTCTGTGCGAATTGGAACGTAGCTGAGGATTACGAGGTTATCCTGCCCTAGGATGGGATTTAAAAAAGTTTGACATACGACGCCATATTGCTTTTCTATTTTCTGTATTCGAAATCCGATTAAATTGTCAATGTTTAAGCTTGGAGTTATAGGTAACTTGCTATTGCCGCACGGTTTTGCTCGTAGGGTCATGTTTTATAGCCCTCTAAGTAACATTGTAGCTATCTATCAGTGGAAGAAAAAAATTTGGGATTTGACCAGCGGTTACAAAGATTACCTCTTCATACAAACTTACAAATAGTAGCTTTTTATAATATTAGTATAGAAAAAGTGTTTGGGCAAAAAGTATTTTGGAAAAAGTGTTTGTTAAAAGAAATATTAGTAAAGAAAAAGTGTTTGAAAAAGTATTTATAGTATTTTGGCTTGTCTATTTGTAACGAAGGCGGCCAGACGACGATTGAATTTTCCTTAAGAAAACAATAGTAGGCATTCACTATTTTTTTGCCAGCGGCTTTGCATGCAGTACCTACCACGGTAAAATTATCTTCTGTATTATTTCAGACTTCAGTCCATCCCTGTGCTAATTTGCATCAAAATCCGTTCAGTAGTTTCACAGGAAAGAGTAACAAACATCGCTCCATACAAATTTTCGAAATAATAATATTACTTAGTAGGATTGAAGTTGGTGTGTTCCCAAACTTTACGGAGATAGTAATCTAAGACTACCGTGACGATCAAAAATACTTACAGAAGCAAATTTATAAGACACTGACCGCCCTCCCCTCCGTCGCGCGGGCTTCCATCACTAACGAAAACAGGGTCTTTTGGTATTCCTTAATTTTCCCCTCTACTTTAGAAGGAACTGCTTCTGACAAAAACAACCAAAATTAATAAAGAATTCCCAAAATTGGTCCAGGCGTTTGTGAGTTATGCGCTTACCAACACATTTTACAATCCATTTTTAAATTATAGAAAAAGTAATTTAAAAATGGAATTACATTATATGCCAGTACTTTAATTCCTTTAGCAAATCTTCTGGAAACTTCCCTCACAATTGCTATAAAGGCATTGAGTGCTTCAGACTAAACTTTACAGTAGTCCAAGAGTCCAAGGCGCTTTAACTTTTTCTAGGGCACTTCAGTTTAATGCTCTGAGAGAAATTGTACTTCTTACTAAAAAGGTTGAAAGCACCTTGTAGTCATTCAATTACACTTGAACTAGGAAAATGACCCTTAATGTTATGTAATTGAGACGTTTGTTCATTAGCTTGGAATTGATTGCTTTTTAATGTTCTTCTGTTTTGTAGTGCAAGTGATGTCTTGTTGTCCGTATCGTCTGTTTTCCCGAATCTGAATCCATACTCTTTTTTTAATACCGAGAAAGGCCTCTTTTTTATTTCTTGGCGTCAGGAACAGGCACCTGTGCCTCGTTGCAATATACAAAACCTAATATTTATTGCCTTGACACACTATCTCATTGCACTAATTGCCAGTAGGTATTTTAGTGAACACGATGAGATACAAGAAAATTATCAAATACGGCCTCGCAGAAATCCGGAGTGAAACAACCACAGCGTTGTGTTTCGCAGTTTGAGTGAGGTTACCGGTGGCCCAATTTCTCCCTCTCCCCTATCCTTCCCAATCCTTAGATGTCCGCAAACTTTATCCTCGAAAGGCCGGCAACGCACTCATGCTCATGCATTCATGCACACAACATCACCTTTGGTGTTGCGGGTGTCCGTGGGTGGCGCCGATTGCTTACCATTAGGTAAAATATCAATTACTTTTTGTTTAAAAAAAACTCTACGTTAAAATTTATTTTTCTCATATATTGTGCGTTTACAAACATACAATTTCACATACACATCACACCCAGACCTGGACCAACAGCTTGTGGATCACACAACGAGTTGTTCCATGCGGGCATCGAAGAGGCGACACGTTGCGCGGCAGCCAGTTGCCCAGACATCGCGCCAACCGTGCAGTCGATAGTCGAATTCTAGTCCTTAACAATGGCACATAGCTAGTAACATAAAACACTAACAGTAAAAACCATTAGCTCGGAAGTTACTGAAAGCAATTTTAAAAGTTTTTACAACGCAACCGAACGACACTAGAAACTTGAACTTCATATAACGTATGGCCATGGATAGAGCGATAAAAACTGACAGCAGAATATTTCAAAATTCCGGTGAAAATTTTGATTGTTATAATTAATCGGGTTTTGAGGTGACCAGCGGAAACCGCAAGCTTGTTGAGGCTAACGCTGTAGCCACAAAATTTTGAATAGGTATCGTAAAAAGTCTTGTTTGAATGGCCAGTCATAAAACCGAATACATTAAATACGTTAACTGGTGTCCAGTCTCTGAATGCCAGTAAATGTTTATTTATTTTTCTTTTATTTACATCGAGTTGACCCTCATTTTATTAGGATGTGCAGTTAAATAAGTAACAGGACAACTTTTGTTTTCGAAATAATCTCTATAATTTCGCAATTCGATTCAGTTTCGAATTACTTGTACCTATTATTTAGTCACTTGAATGCAAGGCAGAAAGTATAACGTATGAGTAAAATATAAATGAAAAAAAAAACAATATAAAAAGAACAAGAAAAATTTTCGTCGCAACATCGCAAAATGCCAAGCGCTCAACTTAATCCCGTGGCTCGGTCAACGAAAACTTGAGTCCACGTCTGATTATCAGCATAAGCCAGCACGTTTTATTCAAACCAAACAAATAAATTACCGAGTACCGTTGTATTATTTATATTATAATTTAATGTTTTTTTTTGTAAATTAATGAATGATTAGGTATTTGTTGTCAAAAGGTTAGTAACTAAATATTATTATGTATATTAAAATCTAAAACTAAGTTCAAATTTAAAAATATTTATAAATCAATAATGTTCCTTTCATTTACAGATTTCAGGTTGAAATTTTAATACGTAATTATCAGATACGCTAGTTGTAAGATCCCTAGTTTACTGCGCCCTATTAAAGTGGTGCCCTTAAATTCGTGGAATTTACGTACCTACTTGTGATAATAAATAAATGTATAGTTATTAGAAAAACATCATAAATCTAATTATTCTAGTCATTTGGAAGATCTAAAAACCCTAAAATACGTTTCCAAAAATGTATGCCTGAGTGATTTTTGTATCAAATTATTTATTTATAACCTCAAATGATTTCGATTCCGAATTCTCTCATATTTAAATCCTCATCAAATTGTCACATAAACGTTACAATTTGTAGGAAAGCTGATTCCGTCGATAATCTCGGATTGACATTTTTTCATTTTTTTTCATTCCCGTTAAATAACGAATTGAAGTAGGTAGGTCATGATAAACCCGATATTTT